ACAAGCCTAATTGTTATAGCTTGAGTCTCTAAAATGGAACAAAGAAAACAAAGACCTGTTGAATGATCAAAGAAAGCAAGTAAGCAACAGGAGCTTTGTTGCAGACATCCCAGTATTTGGGACTAAAGTTTGAGGCCAACCTAGTCTGCATGAGTTCCAGGAAAGCCAAAAGTGCATAGTGTCTCAAAACAAAACAAAACATCCAAGCATCCTGCCGCACACACTACTTAGCCTTTCTTACTCGCCAACAGCTAAGGAACTGTTTTTTAAGGACCTGCTTTTTATCAAAGAGAATTACAGGTCAATCCATTTCTGCTAATAGTCTCCAGGGCTCCGATGTTGTAAACACTTGCCTATTCTTTTCTCTGCATAGGCAACTTATTCTTTCTAGATAACTGGAGTATATATTTTCCTCAATGGGTCACAACCTGGCCTGGGGCTCATTAAGCTTTATCGACATTAAGGTACATTTTCTTATTATCATTTATTTGTTACTGAGTTTTTTGTTTATTAGTTCTTACATCATTATTTTCTGGACCACCTATCACATGTAAGTTTTCCTAGCTTTAACTTATTCTTCAGGATTTCCACATGTTAACATGTTCACATTCTACTCTACATTTGGGGCTATTTCTCACAGATCATCAAGACTACTGGCATGTTATTTAATTCATCCGTTGAGATTGTGTGTGTATATGTGCATGCAAACATATAACATATGTGTGCAAGCACATGAGGAGGACGGGTTGACATCAGGATGTTCCTCAATTGCTTCTCCACCTTTTCTGGCACAAGGTCTCTCACTGAACCTGAAATGTATTGTTTCTCCTTGGCTGTCTGGCCAGCGGGCATCCTGTGACCCTCCTGTTTCCCTTCTGCCCCCAGCACTGGGATTAGAGAGGCATGCTACCATACCTAGCTTATATAGGTACTGGAGATCTGAATTCAGGTCCTAATGCTTTCACAACAGGCATCTCTCCAGCCCTTAAATTTTTTACTTTGAAACAAATTAGGGTCTTTGGCTCCAAAAGCCTCCTACATTTAATTTTCCTAGAAGGAGGGTATATGTGGTATGCATGTGTTTAATTTTGGTTATCTGATATTTTTAAGCTATCACAGACACGAGGTGGGGGATTATTATTCTCCAGATCTCCCACAATGGTCGAGACAGGCTGTTATTTTTTATTTAGCTTACAAAACTTTTGTTCTAGATGTTGAAATATCCAAATGTAAGAATTCTGTATATGTTAGAAAACCATAAAGCCCTACATCCTTAGAATTCTTTGATGTCAAGCTGGCAAGATGGCCCAGTAGGTACAGGTACCTGCTATGTAACACTTGTGACCTGGGCTTTATCCTCAGAACATATGTAAATGCAAACAACATACTCTACCAAGTGGTTGTCAGGTCTTCATATACAACATGACACATGATATACATTCATGTGTGTGCAAAGACATACATTGACACAGACACACACACATGCATGCTCATGCATAAATTAAGCTTTTAAAATGCACCATTTGCTATGGAACCAGCAAGCTATCCTGCCCCACATTACTCAAGTCTTTAAAGGGGGATCTTGAGAATCTCAGAGTATAAGGTTAGGTGGCATATATATTAAAAAAATAAAACATAAGGGAGGTGATAAATATCAAAGTTTGCCTCAAGTTGAAATGACAGGAAGGTATAGGATCAAACTCAGAAAACAATACTCCAAACAGTAGAAGGAAATTACCTATTCTTTCTTTAGTAGGCATACCATGGCCATGCTACTACTAGACCCGAAGCAAAAATCTATTGCTACCAACAATTCTTTAATATCTTCACAACTCTGTGGTCAGTATTCCACCATTACAGAATGGGGCCCAGGCCGACAGAAGTCATCCCTGCCAGGAATGGAAAGAAGTGATCTGACCCCACCAGTTTCTGTATTCACGAGACATATGCTCAATGAACACTTAATTAATTTTCTGGAGACTCTATTCTGAGGACAGGAAGAAATAAACAAGCTCTAAAGAGAGAAGATATGCTGGGTGGGTGTCACATGCAGTCGAAGAATGCCATAAACATTCTAGAGAACCCATTACCACTACCTTAAGCAGTTCATTTAATGTTACAAGCACTTTAAGTTGAATTTTACAAAAATAATCTGTATTTTCTTCTCTATATAGCTAAACAACAGCAATGAAAAAAATAGATTAAAAACTGTTCATAAGACTTCTTTAAATATCAGTAAAGGACAGAGAAAAGTACCTCATATAGAAAGAAGTTAAAGTTTAGATATTAACCATGGTAATACTAGTAATGAATAAAAAGCATTATTATTATTACTGAATGCACTATACCTGCTACCCTTCCAAGTACCACTGGTAATATTGGTAATTTGGTGATAAACAATGTGAATTATGTAGACTATTCTTTTCTGCACAACATGAAACACAGTGATTAACTAAGTAGTCACTGGTCCCACAGTGGAAAACTAGGGAGCCAAGGATATAAAAGCAGAGTCCATGCTCTTAGCATCTTCCCCGATGCTTTCCTAGGTAGTAGCAGTATAGTTGCTCTACCCTTATAACTATCAAATGTTTGCTATTCTACTTGAATACAAAGACATATTAGTTCTAAATCATCAAGGTAGCATTCTATCAACAAGGTAAAACATTTTTAAAGTCAATTTTATACACTAGCCTCAAAACTACAAGATTCAAACAAAACCAGAAAAGGACAAGGTTTGTAATGATTCTGTCCAGCTGTGCCTCACCAGAATATTTCAGAATTTCTTGACTACGCTTGAATTCATGAAGTATAGCATATGCTATCAGAGGTTTTTCAAAGGGCAAACTAAGAGGCTCCCAAGAGTTAAATACAGAAGAGTCTATACCAATCTTTTATTTGTTTGTCTGTCTGTTTGTTGAGGCAAGGTCTCACTACGTAGAGCAGGCTGGCTTCAAACTCAGAGATTCACCGGCCCCCATCTCCCAAGTACTAGGATTAAAGGTGTGCCACCATGCCAGGCTACACTCCATCTTGATTTCCATAGCTACAGTACATACTTTAACAGTAGCTACCCCTTGGTTATATTTTGATAACACTTTCAAAGGCGCCCTTCTCCTTTCAACTTTTATACTTCACAAGAACTTAAACCAAGGGCAGGCAATGTGTGCAAAGCCTGTTGAGGACGGCAGGGACTGAGAGTTGCAGGGCCCCATTCTTTAAGGTCTTATAAACCCTCCATCCAGATTTTTTTCAACAGACTCAACATTAAAGAAAACATTTTCATTATCTATTTTTTGGTGGAGAGATTAAGAGGGAGAAATTAAGAAAAATTCTGAGGTACAAAAAGAAAAACAGTGCAGGGGAGGCTAGAAAGGATATTTTTAGAAACTGAAAAGAACATGAAATTTTGTGACAAATGACTAAGGAAAACCCAGTAGATACAAGGTGTCGGGGGCAGTACTGAGAGAGAAGTCTACAATAGGCAAAAACAATTATCCAGTTCAACAACAGTTCTCACATACAAAGAGCAAGTCAGAGCTTCAGGGTCAAAGAGGATGTTCCGTGCTAAATTCAGGCATTCAAGGTTGTTAAGGCAGTCGTTCAAAATGAGTTGATAGGGCATGACTGTGTTAGTGCAAGGCCTAGGAGGAGACAATCACTCGAATGTAACAGATGGCAAGGCACTAAAAGGATAGTCAAAACAAAACAAAAAATAAAACAAACAAACAAAAGATGCTAAAGTAACTAAGGACAGTTAGTGGCAGAGAACTTGAGGAAAAAAATTACAATTTCAGGAAAATTGAAAATATACTGGAGACTGGAACAAATGGCTATGAGGGAACAGTCACAATCATTTAGGGAAAATTTTAAACAGAACATGTTAAAAATGGCCTCTATACTTTAGCATAAAGAAAATGTTGTACTGAAATGCTGACATCCACATAGAGATAGAAAAACCACCATTCTGTCATCCAGAAAGAATAAAAAGTCTGCCACAAGCTAAACACATCTTTATCATCTTAAGCATCAAGAACTAGATGATGCCCACAGGAAGCAGAACACTTGTCATCTAAGAGGCTTGCTTTAGATTTTGAAGTAAAAATGTTAATGCAATGAAGCAAAACCTAAACATGTAAAAAAAAATATGAGAAACGGTAATTGACTACAAATTCATATAAATTAGAAGTTACTTAAAATGGTTGGAAAGCTAAATTCTGTCTGTACTTGTTTTCACACAGACCTAGTTTGCTTTTTATTGTTGTAATAAACATCGAAACCAACCTGGGGAGGACAGGGTTTATTTTATTGTACAGCCCATTATGAAGGGAAATCAGGGCAGGAACTCAAGGTAGTAACTGAAGTGGAGACATGGAGGAGTGCTTCTTACTGGCTTGCTTTCCATGGCTTGCTAAGCCTAACCCCTCATACCACCCAGGACCACCTACCTGCCCAGGGCTGGCACTGCCCACAGCAGGCTGACCCTCTCACACATCATTAATCAAGAAAATGCCCCCACAGACTTGTGGTTCCCTCTTTCCAGATGATCCTAGCTTGTGTCAAGTTGGCCAGAGCAAAAATAAAACAATCACTAATGAACACACATTATAGTACAGTTTAGTTTTGAACTACTGGATTTGAAACCCATACTCAAGGCTTTCCAGTAGTAATAAACTGACCAGTGTTCAATTTTGACAAATCAAAGGCATTTTTCATAGTACATGATTTTTCTCTGATCAACCTACATTATCCAAATATACTCCATGGCTCTCTGCAGCTGTTTAATAAGACTTAAATTAATTACCCTTAAAGAGAACAACCAGCTGACACCGTTGCCTCATTGAGGGAATCTCATGTGGATCTGGCTCTTAATCATCTTTGGATCCAGCTCCCTACTTCTGTTTGATGGATACATCTTTACCTATGCTGAGGCAGCACTAGTTACACCAATAAAAACCCAAGAGTAACTGACTGCAAACTAAGATAGCAGCAGCAACACTCACCGATACAGACATCGATTTTCCCTTTAATGGCAGCTTCATGTAGAGGTGTGTAGTTCCAGTTATCTCTGGCATTGGGATCTGCTCCTTGACACAGCAACAGATTCACAACCTCAGCATGGCCGAAAGAACAGGCATTATGAAGTGGGATGAGGCCCCCATCATCACGAGCATGGACATTGGCACCCATCTGCAGGAGGTGTTCTACAACATCCTTCCTTCCAAAACCTGGAGAAAAGAGGCAGAAATGTTTTATACATTCAGTCAAATCTTTAACAACATCCACACCTGTGTACTGGGTCTGTGCCCTAGAGTAAAAAGAGTAAAATAAAACAAGCAAAACCACGAGCTTTGTTCAAACACATTCCAGAGGGAGTTAGAGGTTCTACTTAGTCATTTCTACTCCTCCTTCCCCTTCCTACCACAACCCTATTCCTCCACGGGCTCCTGGGGAATTTCAAGGGTTGTGTTTTCTTATTGGGATGGAAAGGGCAAGAATGGCTACGTGAGGTCAGGGAAAATCAAGCCACTCAAATTCTTGGAGTCTTGGTAAGGAGCTATCAGGTGGCCAAATCTGTCTGCTAGCTAATGTCAACAGTAGACATGGGAAGATGGGGTCAGAAGACACACAAGCAGCTCGAAGTGACACCACCAAACTAGGACAGAAATCACTTGGCTTACATTTGCCACTTAGCAATGACATTAGAAAGCCGGAAAAGCCATTCGCTTGCTTATTCAGTGGGTGGTCATCAGAGTGCTGCACCTCTGAGCTTCATATGCGACTCCCATACCAGAGAGAAAGTAAAGGAAGAAAAAGGATTGGACACTGAGTGTTTACCAGTAAAGCAGTACCCTCTTGAGATACACACCTATGCATTCCTAGCCAAAAATGTGTCATCTGTCCACCTACAAAAATGGGCTGGAAAACAAGTCTTTTATAGATTGAGCACACGGCTGTCTCAAGAAAATCAAGTTATCCATTGATGAAGAACTAGAAGATGAATTCATAAATAACAGCATCTGCCACAGCTTCTTAAATCATAGGTAGAAATTTGTTCCATTTTTAAGTACCTGAGAAACTATTCCTAAGAAAAATCACTTCATGCTATGTGAGTCTTAAAAGGTTTTGCAAATAGCAGAATATCATGTTAAATGTTAACTTGCCACAAATGAGAATCACCTGAGGAGGGAGTGTCACCAGAGAGATCAACTGGATTACCTTAACTGAGGCAGGATGACCCACCTAGTGTGACAGCACCTTCAAGCAGCAGCCCAGATGGAAGGTGTCAGAGAAGGCAGGCTGTCCTTCACCCATGGCAACCCTTCTTACAGATAATTTCCTGCCTACAGCTGGGGCTCATTCCTTCACTGGCAGGAGAAACAAGTCTCCAGATCTTTCCAGGTTTTTGGCACCAGATGGGACTGTTTAGGCACCCAGGCTCAAGGCCTGAGCAACTAACTAACAGTACTCAGCTTCTCAGGGATGAGACAGTTGTTACTATTTCAGTGTAAGATGAATAATAATATCATCATCTTTATTATTGTTGTTGTTTATTATTATTGTTGTTGTTTACTATCTGATCCTCCAGAGAACTCTAACATAAAAATGAACAAATTAGAGTCAAACAAATATGGTGGCATACACCTCTAATCCCAAAATTTTGGAGGTAGAGGGTGAACAAACCAGAGTTTATAGGCCAACCTGGACTAAATAATGAGATCCTCTCTCAAAAACAACAAAGAGCTGAGAAAATGATCCAGTCAGTAAAGTGCTTGGCACACAAGCATAAAGATATGAAGTTGAATCTCCTACACCCACATAAAAATAAAAAGCTGTGCACTGTGGTGTGCGTTGGACAGAAGGATCTCTGAAGCTCCTGGCTCAACAAGAGACCCAGTCTCAAAAAATAAGATGGAAGATGACTGAGGAGGACACCCAACATGGAGTTCTGCCCTCCACATGCACACATGAGTACGAGCATGCATACAGACAGACAGACAGACAGACAGACAGACAGACAGACACACACACACACACACACACACACACACACACACACACACATACACAATTAAAGCACAAGAACAAAATGAGAGGAGGCGAAGAAAACTCCTGCAGTAGTCTAAAAATGGAGACCTAGCCTGGATGTAGAAAGCAAGGATGACTGGGTCCTAGAATTCTAGCTGAGCATCTTAGTCTGTGGAGGTTCTGTGTGGGAAAGAAGCAAGGCAACAGCTACAAAAGGTCATCCAGTATCTGCTCCTCACTAACTGCTACAGTGATACTATTTGCACATTTCAGCACATTCTTGCTGCTAAATAATGTCATTATTCCACATGTTCAAAGAAAATTTAAATAGACCCAAAAAAAGCATTGTGCTAGCAATGAAAGGAAAATCTAAATTCAAAACACACACCTAACTGAATACACTTAGCAATATTCTTTACTCTGATTTTTAATTACAATTAATGCCATTCAAAGCTGTTTCAATACTAAATGTAAGGTCACTGGTATTTATTCCCCAAGTTTGAACGCAAAGACAGAGTGAAAAAGTCATTCCACTTAACATTTAGCATTTTAAGCTTGCCTACAATTAAAGCCTGCAAGAAGCGACCTTAAACCTTATCTGTGACACACACAATATTAACAAAAGAGGAAACTCACAGGTGCTTAGAGTCTTGTAAACTAAAGTTTTGTATAAATGGCAGCAACAACAGATTAAAAAAGCATTTTTTTCTCTTAACTTTTTTCTCTTAACTACCAACAAAGCTACAAGCACTGAATCACAGCAAGAAAGTTCATATTACAATTTATTTTTAATTTTTTCCTTAAGTATTGTAATATCCAAAAGACACTCAACATAACAGTAAGGTAAGTCTGACATTTTCAAGAACACTGACATAAGTGGCAAAGAAAGACAGTTTGTGATAGATGACCCGCTCAATACCTTAAAAGGGAAAACACTACAAAGGTCTATTGTTTTACATAGTTCCAGCCACGAGACTAGGCTACTTTGTTTTCTACTGCTGTGATAGATAAAACATTATAACTAATAGCAGCTTGGGGAACAAAGGGTTTATTTAGCTTACACTTTCCAGGTCACAGTCCAACACGAAGGGAACTGGAAGCAGGAAACGCAAGAATTGAAGCAGAGACCTGTGGAACCTCCTTACAGGTGTCCTCTCTTTCCAGAGCTTGCTCAACCTACTTTCTTATACAACTTAGGACGACCTGCCCTGGGTCAGCTCTGCCCATTATTGGGCCCTCCCACATTAATTATTAATCAAAACAAACAAACAAACAAACAAACAAAACCCCCAGACTTGCCTGTGGGACTTTTAAGGACTTCCTACCCAACATACTCATCCAGTTCCCTAACTTAACACTGGCAAAGCCTCCAGAGTTCCATTACACACAGAATTTCTAACTCTGCTGAATTAAAGCTGAGTCTATGTGTGTCTTGGCTGATGTGCGGAAGGCAGCTACAAGATGAGAGGATGTGTATGGTACGATAGTCCCATCCTACCTTTACTCCCAATCCTATCCATTTTCTATCTCTAATACTTTTGTTAAGTTTTTGGGTTTACTGTATTTTTTGAAGGAAATTTACTCACTGTCACGACCATATGTAATCGGGAATTGGGGAAAGAATTTGCAGTTGACTTTAGAAATGTCAAGTCTTCTACGTACCAAGTGAAGTTTACCTAGTCTAATATGCACTAAGTTACAGTAATAAATTCCTGATTATTTTATAATATGCATCCATGACAAATAAACATGTTCTACTTAACACTCAGCCATTACTGCTTCCCTTTCCAATTTTGACTCTAACTACATTAGCTTTTAATCATGAGAAGACACATGAGCTTCTGCTCATTTGACCAAAGTCACAAAGTGGAGATATATATTCCCCTGTTGATTTTTTTTGTAAAACGCAGACCCTAACTGAAAAGTTTTTTTTATTTATAGAACCTGGCTTAGAAAAAGAAGAAAATTTATGCTAAAAGTACAGAGAAATAAGAGTGCCTTTCCTAAGCCCAGTGCAGGAATCTCCGGGAACAAAAAAGACCAGGAACATAAAAACAAATTATAGGAAAATATTTCTTGGGACAGAAAAAAAGATGGTTAGATTCCAACACAAAACCTATTAGCTCAACAGCAGAAGATAGGAATTCTGCCTGTGAAGATGTGAGACCAGAGAAAGCCTACACTTCTCAATACTGTCACCATGTCCCCAAGAAAGCACATACTCCTCAACACTGTCACCATGTCCCCTTCTCTATTGAGAAATATGAAGGCAGGTGATGGAGGAAGTCTTCTGTACATATGTTTCTCTTATTGGTTGGTGAATAAAGTACTGTTGGCCAATAGGGAAGCAAGATAGGTGAGGCTAGGAGACAAGGAAGATTCTGGGACGTATAGTAAGACCCAAGTCACCATGTGATCCCAGCAGGACAGAATGCATGAGTCTGGCTTTCTCAGTAAGATAAAACCATGTAGAAATACATGTTTTAGTAGTTACGGGTTAATACTTAAGACAGAGCTAGCCAGTAAGAAATCAACTTTAAAATTAATAAAATGTCTCATGTATTATTTGGGGGCTGAAGCAGCGACGGGACCCAGCAGCTAGCGGGAAAGAGTACATGTAATATAATGGTGTCCAATGTGGGGCACAATTGAGTCTCATGCTCTACCTACTGAGCTAGCCAGGTACTAGGCTTTCCCATGAAAATGTTGGGCACTGACGACACTCCTTCTGGAGTTCATTCCTGGGTTAATGGTCTCTTGGGCAAAGAACTGTCCTGCCCCCATCTCAACCACTGACTTTGGACATGCTGTCCTACTGTGCTTTCAGGAGACAAACACAGAAGACTGCTGAACCTTGCCAAGTTAGGGTAAGACAGCCTTTCTACCTCCCTGCTTCTGTGTTGGTCAGTCAAATACTCTAGGCCTTAGCCAAAACTGCTTGCCCTTACACTGCTGTGAGACTTTGGTTGACAGTCCTGCTGTTTCTGTCTTCCCTGCACCTTTTGGAAGTCGCTTGCTTGCACTTCCTGTCTACCTTAGTATTGCTATCCTCTTTCTCAGGTTTTTGATGAGGTTGAAGATTAAGACTGTCACAGTTATTGTTCTCTCGTCCTAGATAGAAATATTAGGTATAAGACTTAAACTTTCCAGCTTAGGACAACTCTATAGTAATCTCTGTTATGCCTTTACCCTAGGACAG